AGGAATACTTGTCTGCATACTCCTCTCCGGGAAAAAATAAAATCTTTTTTAGATCAAACAAAATCTTGAATACTTACCCTCCTAAAATATTAATCAATAAGATAACAGGAGAGGTACCATCGTATAACCTGCTTAGAGTTTCTAGTCTAGTCAGACAAAGAAAAAGCAGATGAAGGTGCTGAGAGAATTGAATTCAATGGCATTCTGAAATAATATTAAAGCTGAATTCTGCAAACTTTCTTAATGATCAGCCTAGCTTAGCTGTTTCTAAATACCCTCCACTAACTCAAGTAATAACTGAGAATGTAGGATTAAGTAAGTCTTTAGTAAAAGTCAACATTGTTCTGCCTTTTGCTTCCAGAGACATATTTACTTTTGCTGTTAATGAATAGCTTTGTGTTATTTCCATTTAAATATTATGTATTGCCTACTTCTTCCAATTTTTATTTGCTCCTTGGAGAGCCTGCAATTTAACATTTAACACTCAGGCTGGTACCTACATCTTTAGCACATCAGAATTTTTCAAAAACAGCCACCAAATAACACTGTTAATAAAAAAAAATGCTTCCTAAACAAAAAAGACATACCTGAAGCCCCTTCCAAACAATCATAGTTGATTTTTAAATGTTATTTACCATACAATTAATTTCCTGCCTGTTGTTCTGTTATTTAAGAGCAACAGGCACATGCCAGACTGACTAGCAAAATATTCTTTCTAACCCTCCCAGTTCATGGAATCCCTTTGGAAAGAGCTGGGGGAATTTTTCTATAATGATCAATAAAGGGTTTCCCTGGGGGATTAAATTTCTCATATTTTACCCTTGCTGAATGAATTTCCTCTGCAGTGTTTTTTACGCTCTGGGATTCCTATTTATTCTACTACCAACTTGTAAATTGTGGATTATACTGTGCATGCGTGCACGATACTCTCACTTCCCATTCCTCAAAAGTATGTGTGCAAATGCCTGTGTTTGCAATGGCCCTTGCACAAATACTACTTAAATTACATTTTGTCTCTTTTTTCTTTCTGTGCTTACTATCTTTCTGAAGAAGGAATAGTAGCAATCTCTAGCCTTCAGCCACTAATTTTTATTAAAGCAAACTGTAATTTCCTTGTCTTTGAGACATACCAGAAGAAAAACTCACATACACACGATACTGAAGAAGTGCTTGTTTATGTCTGGAATTCTGTCTGATTTTCCAGTTACACTAGAATCATAGAACTTTTAAATTGGAAAAGACCTCTAAGATCACTGAGTCCAATCATTAACTTAACACTGCCAAGCCCACAACTAAACCATGTCCCTAAGCACCATATCTACATGTCTTTTAGATACCTCCAGGGATGGTGACTCCACAACTTCCCTGAGCAGCCCGTTTGGCCTAATGAGTGCTATAATGTTTCAGCGTCACCCGTCAAAAGGGGGCTTGTCTCAAAGAAGAAAAACATTGCATGCAAGCCAGCGTAAACATTATCAATTGCTCTCTGAGTAAACCTAAAACATGGCATGGTTTTTATATCTTCTGTAACACCTGAGTAATTGAGCCCTGAGAAGATTTCAGTCTGGAGAAGATCACTCAGTCTCCAGGGTCCCAGTCCCCAGGGTCCCAGTGCAATGGCTCAGCTGTTGCCATAGCTACCCAGATGGCAGTGGCTGTCACAGCCTCTCTGCCCTGGGAAATACCACCTGGTTTTGGGACCTCTACATCCTCTGGGTATGGCCCCTTGAGAGCACTTTCCCCTAAGCCAGCCTGGCCTGGCATTGCACCTATTGGTCTGCTCTCTTCTTCGTGCACCTTTAGAAAGAGAAGAGATGCTATTCAAGCTCAAGTACTGCAAGTATTTGCTGCTTATTTTGTGTCCACTGTTAAATAGGGAACAGACTTTACAACAGTGTCCCAAATGGGAAAAGGAACACTGGCTTCAGTGACCCTTTTGGTCACTCCATGGTTGAGGAGGACAAAAGCACAAGTGTGACTTAGCCCTGAGCAGATTGTAACTTCTACAAAAGCTACTATATTGACATAAAGCTTTTCTGACAAAACAAAGAAACAGAGAACACCTTTTCTTTTCTTTTTTTTTTAATGTGTAGACTACTTTTCCTTGTTTCTGAACTATGCAATATGGATATTTTAGCTTGTGATGTTATTGACAGTTGTTGCTGCTATTTGTATAGCTGAGGGGCTTGGGGGACAAAGGTAGTGGGTTGTTTCCCCAGTATCATGAACCGTTTAATGTGGTAACAAATTCAATATTTCTAGAAAGCCCACATCCTGGTTTTCAGATTGGGGAAAGTGGACACAAATGCCAGATAAATTACCTACAGTTGTATATCACCAAATTTTTGAATACAGTGTCATATGTATAGACTTTGCCAGCTGCTGACTTGTTTTCACTGTTCACTATGCATCTGGTCTGAACAAGACAGTCTTGTTACTTTATGTTTACAAACCTTGGTTTTGTAGCAGGTGAAAGTCAAGGACGTAAAAAATAAAAATATAGTACCTAACGTTGCTTTGGACATAGTGAAGATTGCTTTAAAGAGAAGCTCATTCTGCATGTGTAAAAATGCAGATTGAACATGGTTTTACTTTGTACCTACCCAAATTTTAATACTGCTTTTATATTTTAAAACACAAAAGAAATGTAGAAGTACAGGCCTTATGTAAAATTCATCACAAATCTTCAAAACAGGTTTGATATGGCCAGTGACAAATGATGTCCCATAAAGCATTGCATGACTATTTTTAACATAACTCTCATACATTATTTCTCCTGCACTCATTGCCCAGAAATATGAACATGTTGAAATACAAGGCACTATAACCGGCTTTCGTATCTCCACTTAATCTTTGCAGGACCCCTACTCCCTTGACTTCATATGAGGAGCAAATAAAACAAGTGATGCTGACAACTGGAACCATCCAGCAGCTTAGCTTTAGCCATCTATTTTTATTAATCACTGCTGCATATACATGGTGAGTGGCTGCTAATTCAAGTATTTCACTTGTTTCACTGTCTTCATCTTTACTTTCCCTTTAATTTAATCCCCAGTAATTTGCCTTTCAATTGAGACCCTAGAGGTCGAGCCCTCCCCACACCAGTATCACCAGTCATTGTGGACTCTAACCCTTGGATTCTAATATTCTCACAATGCTTTTCTTCTTTGTGCTTTGTTGTTGTTTCTTTGTTTTCTTTTTTGTTTGTTTTTTTTTTTTTTTGGTTTAGGTTGGGTTTTTTAAAGACAAAATTCCATTTCTCTATCACTTTCATAAAAGCACAACTTTCTCTTACCTCCTACCTCTCTAAAGTTGTTTACTTTGGCACCCTCCTCATTTTTCATCCGCTACCTCCACTTTTGTCCTTTGCTGTAAGACAGATGATAAACGGCCTGAGCATCGGCATGCGTTGGCTTTCATTCCCAGTTTTGCCCACTCACTTTCTGTATCACAGGATTATCCGGGATCTGAATAAAAGCTAGGATCTATCTCCCCCAGGCAATGAAAAGCCGTATAAAAGGCAAGCACACCAGAATCCATTTGCAAGCACTGTGCTCAGTGCTGGCCCCAACCTGATACAAATCGGGACAGGGAAGGAGTCAAAGTAGAACCAGATTGCAGTAAGAAGAGCAAGTACTTCTCCTAGAAAAGCCTGAGGTCTCCTTCCTGACTTCAGGTAATGTGTCTGCACAGTGCACAGGGTGGCTTTGCTGCAGCTTAGGCTGTGTGTAAGGGCTAGAGAAGTTCACTGTCCTCTGTGCCTTTGCTGGTCACATTGCCAGCATCTGTTTACCCTTCTATAAAATGGAATAGTACCACACAGGATGATGTGAGCCTTAGGGAAATAAGACACTTTTGAGATCCTGGGTGAAGGATTCTGAAGGTGAATTCTTCATCAGGAAGCATTTCTTGACTAAAAGGGTTAAAAAGCATTAGAACTGGCTGTCCAGGGAAGTGATATGGCACTTAGTGCTATGGTTTAGTTAACGTGGAGGTGTTCAGCCAAAGGTTGGTCTAGATGAACTTGGTACTTTTCCAACCTTGATGATTCCAGCCTGGTGTCAGCTCTGTTTTCATTTCAGACCTTGCACTTACACTTTTTTCCAGAATTACTGTCATTGTCATCCTGTTTGGGGATACTGGGAAGCGCCTCTTCAACCTTCCCAGTTACTTGCACTGCAAGGGCAAATTAGAAAATATTGCCACTTGCAAGCCCGAGCATTCAGCGCGAGCTCCCAACCCCCCAGAATGACTCAGTGGATCCCAGCCTCCTCCCTGCTGTGTAAACAGGGGGGACGCGCAAGGTCGCTCACAGACACCGACTCTCATTTGTACTTGGAGCCAAGGCTGGCACAAAGCACTGCTGCACCTCACTCCACGGGGCTCCTGGGGTCGGGGAGCGGTTCCAGCGCCGGGAGCCAGCCGGGCGGGGCCCGCAGGGAGCCAGAGGGGCAGCGCTCCCGGCCCGCTGCCCGGCCGTGGGGCAGCGCTGCGCTCCGCTCCCCTGCGCTCGGCGCCCGCCGGGCTTCCCGGGCTCCCCGGGCTCCAGCAGCCACACCACCCCTCCCGGCCCGCTCCACCACTCGCTCCCGTGCCCGGGAAGTCCCGCCCCGCTCGGGGCGGTCGCGGCTCCCGGCCGGCCGGGGCGCTGCCGGGGTGAGGCGCTGCCGGCGGAGAGTCCTGCCTGCGGGTGAGCGGCGGGATCCGCCACCTCCCGCGGCCCGGAGCCGCCCCCGAGCTGGCCCTTGGTGCCCTCGGCCCGGAGCCGCCCCCGAGCTGGCCCTTGGTGCCCTCGGCCGGACAAGGCGCCCGGGCCGGGAAACTTCTCCGGAGTTGGGCGAGAGCGGCTTCCGCCGCCTGCGCTGCCGGCCGGGAGGGCCGCGGCGGGCGGGCAGGGCTGGAGGTGCGGCGGGGCCGGGCAGCGCAGGGCCGGGTGCCGGGCTCGGGGCCGCCGCTCGGCGCGGGTCGGGGCTGCGGCGGGGCCCGGCCCGGCCCCGGCGGAGGGGGCGGCTGCGGGACGAGGGGCAGAGGGTGGCCGGGACAGCGGCGCTGGGTCGGGAGTGTAAGGGGATGAACACCTCCTCCTGTCTGGAAAGGCGTTTCACAGCACCAGATGATTGTTACCAGCAGAATAACCCTCGAGCTCAGGCGGCTTCACTGTGTGAGTGCAGCTACGCTGCTATTTTTACCGCTGGTATTTAATATTTGTACAGTCATAACAAGTTAAATATTGGAACTACGTCCCCTCTAGTACTTCCCTCCCGACAGTCCCCGAGGGTGGCTCTGGGAAGTAACAAATGCCTCAATCCAAAACTGGGACCTTCAGAGCCTGCCTTCAGCTGACTCTCCATCTGGAAGCACCCGTATCCCTGTGCATGATGCTTCCAGAGTTGCTTAAGCTTGACAAGACTCAACGGCAAAGCTCCAGACTTGCCTGTGAGCCCTGTTAGGATTCACACACTATGCATGTTCTCTGTGGCCTGGGGCTTGCTGCCCTTTACAAGACTCAGCTGTGGCAGACTCTGCTCTCTCCTCTTGCACAGATTTGGTGAGCGCAGAGGGGAGTGCAGGTTCTGAGCGAGGGAGGTTTAGGTCCCCCTGCCAAGTCTGCTTCAGTACTGTAGCCAAGCCACTGCTGGGCAATCACCTTGTGTGTTTGGCATCCCCTCTGCAGCAGGTCTTGTATTGTGATGAATTTAGCCTCAAGTTGAAGCATACAAGTTCTGTTGGTGAGGAACTCAGATGAGCCTAGCAAGTCTTTGAATGTATATATGATCTCTTACATACTTGTAAGCATAATTATTCTTTTTAGGCGTGTCTGTTGTATCTGTGCTATCTTCTGTATGCTAGAGGCTTGTGATAGCTGTTGAACGAAACAAATTTTTAGCCAGAGGTCACTTGCATTTGGAAAATTTTGTTTTACTTGTCTGGAATTCCCTTCTGCTTTGTGTTGAATACATTATTCAACGTTCTCTATCGTAATATGTTCTGTAGTGTTTAAAGGTTGTTGCCTTCTTTCTGCTGGAGGCTGTGTCAGTGATGGGTGAAGTGATGCTTCTAATAGGTAGTTTTGTATCATTTTGTCAGGTACTTTGGGATTGTTTTATGAAAGACTACATAAATGTCATTTATTATTATGAATGCCTCTCGTGGTTTGGAATTTAACAGACGTAATATTTGCCATCATGTCACTATCGTCACAATCATTTTTGTAGTTGTAATCAAAAATGGCAATAATGGCATTCAGATGCTTAATTATATTTTATGTAGGTGACCAGTTCTAACTTATTAAATTAATGCATGGTGGAACAGGAACAAGTGTCGCTGCTTCCCTCTGTGGTTAGGGAGCCATCAGCTTGCTTCTCACACATAAAAATCAGTATATGGTGAAGCATATGGCACCAGCGAGTTCTGTGTTTATTAAAGGACTATTTCTCTGAACATTCTGTGAATTTTGTTCCTTATTTCACTTGATGTAGATCTAAAATGTTTTTCCCACCTTTCAAAACTTGAAATACTGAACAAGTTCATTTTTTAGTAAGCTGAAACCAAGACTTCTTAAGGTTCATGAAAACAGTGAAACTTTTACTTTCATCACACTGGCCAACTGTCTGGTAGGGGGAGAATTAGAGATCTGTCTAAACTGTGGAAACCTAAGTTTCAAGTCCCTAGTTTGATTCAGAATAGTTTTGAACTTTTTTACATTTTCTGTCTTTCTGGATAACTGGATTGCCAGCTATATTGGAAAGAGAAGGGGGTGTCCCATCTCCCTAGTTCTAGATTACATCTTCTCAAAACTGGTAGGGTAGGTTTTCTGCTTTAATGTCATTTTCTGGTCACAAATTAAAAAGCTTCCTCAGAATTTTCTAAGCATTTCCCATGTCTTTGATAGTAATATGTATGTGGGTAATAATCCAAGAAAAGCATTTTATCCTAGCAACAGCTGGGATATTTTTTACAACTATTTAACTACTTGGATAAGATGGAATTAAGAAGAAAGGCCACCACCATCATCCCTTATATGACAGCTTTAAGTAAATCACAGTTTTTAACTTGGATGTCAGAAACATGTAGATCACTCTTCTCAAAGACACTCTGAAGCCCTAGTTTTGTCAAGCCAAAGCCACAGGGTTTTTCCTGAACTAATTTCTGTGGAGGAGGGGGGACCAAAGAAGAATGGTATGTTACCTCCCTTTTTCTGCTCTTTCAGCATCTTACCTCTTATCCCACAGTTGTCTTTGCCTTGTCACTGCAGTGAGGATTATTCACCCATTGAAAGGAATTTAAATCCTTTCCTTGCTGTGATTTGTGTACCTTCTGGCAGTTGGGTCATTTTCAGATAGGTCTGGAAATGTTCAACTGGTTTTTTAATGCTTGGACTCCGATGATTTGTAAACGTCATTGCAGGATTTTGTTCTGGGTTATTCGCTTTAGACAGGGTAGCAAGGATTTTTTAAAAAACAGGATAGTTTCCACAACAAAAGTAATGAGTTTGTATCATTACAGAAATACTTTGATACCACATTCTGTGATACAAAGAGGCAAAACAGTGGCAGGATTCTGTGTCCAGTTCTTGTTAAGACTGAAGATTCAACAAAACCTGGAAATTAAAAAAGGATATGCAGGAGACCTGACAGTCTTGTCAGCTTGTGTGTGTTGGTTGGTCCTGCTATTCCACTGCTATACCCAAATGGGGGTAAGAACTTAACATCAGCAGGAGTTGTATATGCAAGAGGTTGACTTTGACCACTGACAAAACATGCAGACTCTGTAAAGGCAGTCTCCAAGTTAAGAGATACTCATTAAGTTACAGCCATCACGTTTAAGTTTTCCCTTGACTCACATTAACTTTTCTTCTGTGGGCTAGTTTCTTGTTAGAGCAGAAGTGGACCTTGAGAAGGGCATTTAGCTTCCATTTCCTGACGCAGCCATAGAGAACAGTCACAGTAGAAACTCTGAGGCTTTTCTGAGAGTGTTTTTTTTCCAGTAGGTCTTCAGATTGGTTGAAAGTTTTGTGATGTAGGTGTTTGCAGTAGTGGGACATTGAATTTAGTTCTGTGCATCTAAGCTTGTCACTCACTAGTATAGAAGGTGGTTTTCTGAAAGTTCCTGCTTACCTCAGTTGCTGCAGTCTGCGATATTGAGTGAAGCACTAAATTCAATCCCCATGCTCTTTTCCACCTTCACAGGTCTCAGTGGATCAGTGACTGGTATGTTCTGTGGCAAAGCTGCCCTTAAGGTTCATTCATATGAATTTTGCTAGCTAGAAATGTCCAATCTTGATCAGGAGGTAGTAATGCACATCAGTCATCCATTGCTTAGAGATTGGTGTGGTGAGAAGTGTGATATCTGTTCTCTGGTGTCTTAGACCTCGATCCCGTTTCTCCTTATTTCTGCATGTGAAGATCATGGAGTGATTTTATGTGGCTCTTGGTGATAGGGCTGTACAAGTGAGTGATAATGCTCCACCCAGCATGCTTACTGAAATGTTTAAGCTCACGTGAAAATCTGTGTATGTGACCTGAAGCAGAGAGAAAACCAACAAAAGTCAATGAGAATAACACAAGAACAGTGTTAGATGTATGCTGGTTTCAAATCTGAAATTCAGAGGGAATGAAGACTGGATATCCATTTCTGAAAAGCAAAGACTTTCTTTCCTACATCTTGTTGTCCTAGCAGGAAAGAGAATATGTACTTGTAGCCCAGAACCGATGAGAAGCAAATATGATTCCATTTAGTCTTAAGAATACAAATGTGTATATCAACATGCAGGACATAGCCTATATTTGCATATAGCATAATGTGACTTCAGTTCTGATTTTTGGCCTAAAAACACTATGTGTGCATGTAAAATATAATTAATGTAATGTTTGACCCTGGAGCAGAATTTTTATCTGACCTTTTATCAGGAGTAATTTTGGAAGCTGCCCAAAATGTAAAATCCCCTGAAGTTCTTCTAAAGGAGATGTTAATGAAAAAACACTTCTGGGTATGCTGGTCTCTCTGAGGAAGAGAAACTTCAATGTGACTTTGCTCAGAGAAGCTTAGATTTTGAGACTGTTATCTGCACAGAAATAAGGTAAAATAGAAGTCTGACTATTCTAGTCACAACAGCTAAACTTTAACCAAATTGAAAAATTGTGCATAGTACAAAGTGTCTTGGTGCAAATCACTGTTGGCATGCATACATGGTCATATGCTGAGCGCACGTGCTTGCTTTGATCCAAAGGTTTGGCCTCCATACTGTGGGGTCAGTATGAGAGGCTGCACTTGTTCTGGTGTGGCAGTTCAAGTGTAAGGAAGCAATCTGGTTTTTATACGTGATCCTCAGACCAGGTGACACTGGAAGGTCTGTCTGTCTGCCGCTAACTGAGCCACGAAGGGAATACGCAGTAAGAATTGTCACGTACCTTTCAGGTGAACATTTAAAATCTTTACTTCTCACTTACCCAATTCTCACCCCAGAGAGTGCTTTCTGGAGGTTCTGAGGGCAGGGGATCAATATATTGGCCTTTCCCATATGTGTACTAGTGTTTAAATTTCTCTTAAAATTTAAGTGACTTTGCTTTTAGGCTGTAAAACATGTAATGTAACTCAAGCAGTGTAAACACTGCGGTGTGTGTACCTGCATATTTTGCTGGGACTTCCTTTTATCAATATAGGATTATATATGGCTTGGATAAAGCTCTCCTAATTTTTTTTCATAGCACATACAGTAACTTTTTATGTAGTCTTACTTATTCCTTCTCACTTCCATAGTGTAAAGATTTTTTGATTCCTCAAAGCATATATAGAAAATCTAGTGAAAAACAATATTTAGCATATCTTTTAGCTTGGCTTCTTAAGGAAATACATATTTCTGAATGGTTTGGGGACCAGAGGTAGGTTGTTGAAGGCCACAGTGTTAACCCACTACTCTGAGTGTGTTTTGTGAAAAAATGTGGCAAGGGAGGGATAGATGATGCTTTTCAAATATTCGCACCAGCAGATCTCTAGGCTTCGAATCTCTTCGCCAATTTCTACCCAGTTGAGAGATTACACGTATCCAAAATGATGAGGTTCTTACTCACTGCATGAAGATAGAGTCACCCAAAGGTGGGAAAGTGCAGGTGCCCCACTAAGGGAAGAGCTGCAACACATACTCCTATGGGATTAGACAGG